GAATCTTCCTTTCTTCACAGAATCCGACCACACTCTTCCGGTCACCAACATCCTATGGCATCACCACACATATATATGAACAATGTTTGGCCTCTATCTAAAGATTCTAAACAATTCAACTCAAGGAAGACAAATGCAGATGTTTTGTCTCTTACCTCTCTTGCTAAAGACCCACAATGTCTGAGATTGACCCACCGGTTCTTTTCATGAGCTATGCAAATGTGTTCGTCTGCTTCATCACAACCAACCTGCATCACATCCCCCATATTCTGAGACTGAAATACTGAAGAACAACAACACAACATTTGCGGCCCTGCTTTCAGGATTTTACCATTGACACAAGCCGATAATTGGTGTTTGGTTCTAAGCCTTCGTAAAGCTTGCTGATATCTATCTCCCACTCCAAGGCCTTTGTCGTTTCAGATATTTCTTTTCCACTTTCATTCTTCTCCCATTCTACCACTAATGATGCAAACCCCACAAAATACCAACATTATTTTATAATAAGCATAATAAATGAAATGAGTGCAATGAGATCACAGTCATGGTGGTCAAAACTTACCGATTGTGAAGATAGGTGGGCATCTACTTATACTGCGATGAACAAAGTTTGTGTTTCCACAGCCTCCTGTTTTAATGTCACATAACATTTTATAGTCCATGCGCATTACCTTGAGGATATCCACAAACTTTATATTCCCAAAAGCACACTGCATATATATAAGCACAGAAAAATCTTTGTAAGGGCACATACAAGTTTCTGTAGGAAAGACAGAGAGGAAAATAAATGAAACATACCTTCAGGTCTCTAATTGAATCTGCAGCCATAACAATGCCATAAGAACTCTGCTCTGGATAATTTGACTTCCTTCTGCAATTTCTACAACTCATTCTTTCATTTTCCTCCAACGTAAAAAGGCGAGTCACCAAGCTTTCTTTTTCTGAATTTTTCCAGCAATGCCAAAACTCAAGGATGCTAACAAGTACCTCAGCAGCATCACTCGACTGAAAAGAGTGAAAAAAAATATTATTAAGCCTGTTGACCAGAAAATAATAATACCATCCTTAGAAGCTAATCTTCTCCACACGAACCATGGGAAGAACTTCTTCTAGAGAAGCAAGTAAGTCGCTCAAGATGACACTGTAGACTCCCTCAGTTTTTATTTCCCCTGACACAATAGCAGAAAATAAATGTTGTAGCGCACCAGGAACTTGTTCTTCTAGGTCGGCATGAAATGGTTGCTCATTGTGTTTTAAATCTTCTTTAAGAACGTTAATGTTCAAGAGGGCCTGCAATAACACGTTGTTGTGAACTTATGAAAGCGAATAAGGAGGTGAAATGATATGGGATAAGCTGACTCAAAAGATGACAGTACAGGTATTGAATCTTGTTATTTTTTTTGGGGGGTAACTGCTTTACCTTTAGCGTCATGTCAAGAGCTGGATTGTATCTGGCTCCAGCTCCTCCAAGCACTGACTCCAAATTTACCGACAGTGAATCTTCGCCAGGCATGTTTTCCATATCTTGAAGATGGCCACCACTTATACAACCACCATAAACTTTAGAAGCGTCCACTTGAATATCAGTGTTGGATGAAATTTCCAATTGACCATCTTCTTGTTCCATAGAATCTTCCTCCGGTTTAAGGTTGACAGAAGGTTCACTGGAAATGTAAATACAAGTTTTGCTCAGAGAAAACCCGAATACAATTTATGAACATGCAACAAGAGAACCCTTGAGGTACTTACTGTTCAACAGTCTTATCAAGGGGACTAGACATGCTCGTAGAAGTTTTCTGTTGCGACATGAAGACCGATCAATCTAATAACTGATTAACCAAAAAAGTAAGAGAAGCAAATAGAGAATTTAGAACTTCAAAGACCTCGATGCTTTTAGTTTTCTGCTTCTTCTTCTTTGTCTGTGACTTCTTCTCCTCGTCGCGTAAAAGATCTGCTTCTGCTGCATCTGACTTAGATTTGAATTCCATATTTACAATTTCATTCTGGATGAGACGAGACAAGAAAACATATAAGAGACAGTTCAAATACCAAATCAGACGGAAAATGAAACTCTCTGTATACAACCAAAGTCTCAAACCAACCAGCAAGAATGGTTTCAGCAGTTGAAGCATATAAGAGCGGTTGTCAAAAAAAGAAAGTCTTGTGAGGCTGTTTAGCAATCTAATCCTTGAATTATCAATCAGCAATATCTTTGCATCGATTAGCAAAACCTGCAAGCCATGTAGATACTTTTAGACTGACAGCTTTATGTTATTCTGTTACTAATGAATATTCAAATCATGAATGAACCTTGTAGGTGACCATTGATGTCAGAAGGTCTATGGATTTCCGCACTATATTGTCGCTGAGACTTTTACGCTTACGTATAAGATCCAGGCAATCTTCTAAGTCGGGGTAGTCAACTGTCGGATAAGATGCTTGTTCGAAAACATCTCGTACTGCACACAAGAATACTAATGTAGTGAGGGAATTTCCGGGGGCTCTCTCTTCACATTTATCGCATAGAAGAGATGCATAGCTGTGCCATTGATCTTCCGGAAGATTCATTCTTCTTTCATCCTCTCTCATACACAAGTTCTCCACGACAGTAAGAGCTGCTTCATAATCTAAGACCTGCTTTTTCTTTGCATATTTGGTTCCCAATGCTCTACATGTGAACTGAACAGCTCTGAAAACAGCCACCCAGATATCAAGATTGTGTTCCCTGATAGGTTTGGGAAAGCTTTTATCGACTGAAGAGTAGTCAACTAACCAGGATATGATATCATCTCCCTGCGCATCTGCCTTGGCGTAGTGAACACTGGGATCCAAAAACTTGATTGTCCCTCCATCATCGAATGGAGCCTTACTTCTTTTCAACAGTCTTTTATCAAGAAGCACAAATGAGAACTGAGGGTCAAAGTCGATCGTTTCTTTACATTGAGTACGACCCAAGAAACTGTCCACTGCTCTGCAAACCAGCTCTGTACCATCCTCCCTTTCACACTCGACGAGATTGAGAAGGTCTAGGATTTGATTTAATTCAGGACGTTCCAAAAAACAGATGCTCTGAGGTGTTTTCAGTAGGTGAGAATCAGTAAGACTCTGTCTGGAAACTTCAAGTTCCCCAAGATGCTCAAGCGGTATTCGCATCAACCAGTCTCGCATGCTGCAGGAGAGAATCTGATGGTCACAAAACTTCACAAGGAGCAAACGGATTTCCTTGAGTAGATTACTGCGCTCTTCATCCGCTGCTAAAGGCCATTCTTTGGACCATCCATTCTTAGATTTGGACGTGAACGCTATCACATCTGAGAGCTGATTTTTGATCATTTTAACGGCAGCAGCTGTATCTACTGGTTCCCAAACTTCAGCCGATATCTTACGAGCCCAGTCTTTTCCTATCCTCTTGACCATACACTTTTCTGAAGAAGGTTTAAAATCTGCAGCATGTTGTTGTTCAAGATGAGTCTTACATTCTTCAGCACTAGAAAACTTCATCGAACAGATAGTTCGACACATCCAGACTGTCCATTTTCCGTCTTTCTTGGCAGAAGCGAGAACTTGGTCCAAAGCATCTAATGCCTTTCTTTTATGCACTCCCTCGACAAATTTTCTAAGCTTTGCAATGCTTACTTTCATGAAATCCCTTTTGATCTTGACATTCAAACCCATCCAATACGACCTCAATCCTTTAACAGCATCCGCACGCGGGTCCGGACTTTTCTTCGACTCCCAAACTTTCGGCTCGCAGATTTTTATAGAATTAGTCTTGGAAGAAGCCATCATGGTCTCTGCTTGTTGGATTAAGGACTCTAGCCCTTTCTTATCTCGGGCGCTTAGTATTTTCTTTAGCATTTGACTAGCAGGATCCGAGGCGTTTGGTTGAGGAATAGATAAACCTTGTTTTGCTTTGTACACGCAATTCTTGTAAAATAATGCTGACCCAAGATCTCTGGCCAATTTGTAGAGTGTATTTGCACAAAGTCCTGATATCTTCACATCTTCCGAGAAGCATCCTACAGCACCCAACAAGTATACGACCTCCATATCAGTTTTCTGCGCTTTTCCCGCTAGTTCTAAAAATACTTGACCTTGTTCGATATGAAGAAGCCACGAGTTCCTGTCTTCGCTATGGGCTGAAATCAAATCGTCAAGCATCTCTAAGGCCTTGTTGTAATCACCATTAGCGAAGAAAGCTTGAGCCTTTCGGTAGAGTTCCATGCCCTTGACATCTTCCAGGAAAGTAGTCACCATTATAGAAAACGATTCTCAAAAGATTCTTGCGGCTTTCTTGGGTCTCGAGAGTTTTTTTTCTTCAGAGAGAAATGTGTTTACGAGAAGAAGCGGGAGAAACCAACGAGTATAACAGAAGAAGCGTAAAGAAGACGCTGGCCTTTATCACGTGAGAGCCACGTAACAAGCTTTGGTGGGGAAAAAAAAAACAGAGACCCAATTTTTAAGCATTGGGGAATTCTGTCAAACTCATTGTGTGCATTACCCGTTTGGGATTTTCCCGGGATGAATAAACCATAAAAAAAAATACAAAACCAAAATTAGTGTGAACCTTCGACTTTGGCTTAAAAGTAGCATGGTCTTCATGTGTGATATGAACAAAATCCGTGAAAATGTTCGAACTTGAAAGATCAACACAAATGATTCGATGATTGGAAAACGGCTTCTTATAAAGTTAGAGGAAACTGCTGAATTTGGCATGAAAACAACAACAACAAAAAAAATTGACAAAATCAAGTAGCACGAGAGATTGACACGTATCTATTCACAATCGCGCTCTCCCTCTTTTTGAAGGCGGTAGAGAAGAAAATAATCAGTAATCATCGAAATATGAAAGATATGGGGCCAAAAAACGAATCACTGGAAACAATGGGGGCTGTTTCCGAATATCCACATTAAAATAATAGTGGGCCTAAATTAAAAACACTGAGGCCCAATTTAACTTCCGACGTCGGTTAGGTTCTATTGAAACTCCGCCTCCGCGTAAGAACGCAGAAATCCCTTTCATCGTTTGGCTTCTCCTGGTAAGTTTCTGGATTCGATTATCTTCATACAATCGACTTGTCTCTGTTTCGGATTCTACTTCATGGTTTCTTCTGGATTTTTGTTACGAGATATCTTAATCCGTAATTATCTTTCAGGTGGTATGCTAAAGGGTGTTGAAAGAGGGATTACTTGTGTCTGTAGCTTTCAATCGTCGGCCTGATTAATATTTTAGCGATGGTATGTACTTTTTTTCCGGCCGATTGTTTCTTCAGTTTCAAAATACCACATTTTTTTCTGATTAGAAACAGTGTTATTTACTATGAAATTCAAGTGTCCTCAGTGTTGGAGATTGGGTTCTAGGGTTTGGAGATTGGGTTCTAGGGTTTTAGTATCTTCGAGTCTGTGGAAGCGTTCTCAGTTTTCTCGAGGGGATTCGTTGCGAAGGTGATTCAATATCCTTAGACTACAGTTTTTGATTTCGATTGTTTAACTCATTATCAGCAAAGCCTTTCTCCCTTGGAGCTATGATTCCGTGTAATGTAGTTAGGTATTATGAGATAATGATTTTGCATCTTTTGGGTCTAATAAAACAGAAGAAATTTGATCTGTGCAGTCAAGGGGGATGCAGAAGGAGCGTTTAAGAAGACTGTTGCAATCGATCGGATGATTGATGCTCTTCAAGATGCAAACCCAAGAGAAGTAAGTTGTGCAATTTTCTTTTGCTTTTAGTCCTTGAAACCGATTCCACTTTGAAAATGGAAGGGGAAATTAATTGTTGTTATCTTCTCTTGAGTAATTGTGTTTTTTTTGTTTCTGTTGTTGCTGCCATTTCCCTTGGCCAGCTTGAGCAGCTTGTTGTTGAAAACATCCTTGCTTTTGATGAGGTTTTCTGGATAAGACTCGCGGCCAGGTCGGATACTTGCAAATCAGATGATGACAAGGCACGCATTTTCTGTTGTTTAATGTCAATGATTAAGAAGATTCTCGAGCTCTCTTTTCGCTAATGCTCGGTTTGTTTCTTGCAGAAGGACTATGAGGAGTTAGCTGCAACCGTGATGAGCATAGTTGACTGCGTTGTGAATAAGACTCGGGTTTGTTTTCAGTTGTTTTACATATCCTTTTTTTTTATTGGTTCCATGTCTCTTCTTGTTCTTCAGTGTCTGCTTTACTATATCCCTGTAGGAAAAGATAGAAACGTCTACTGATGTTCTGAAAGGAATATTAAGACCCGTTGTGGAAGGAGTGGAAGAAATTTCATGGCCTCCAAGAGATCCTGAAGCCATCAATCAAATGGAAAACGTATACTTGTTGTTCTTCACTTTCCTTTTTTGACCAAGACATGTTCTTCCTCAGATCTCCTGAAAAAACTGATGTGATCAATGTCTTACCAGGAAATAATACAACGGGAAAAAGAAGGGCAATTAGATGAAGGGTTTCTTTCAGAAGTTAGTGCTCAGCTACGGCAGGTAATTGCAATGGATTTTACTTGTAAGATCGTTGCAAATATAGGTCATAGACAAAAGAGTTCTATTTAAATTGGAGTTTGCATTCAAAACCGGAGGTTGCTTTCAGGCAAAAGAAGATAAAGAGAAACCAGGGCTTGCGGCTATGCTGCAAAAAGTTCTTCAACTCTATGCTGCTACGATTCTCTCCAAGTGTAGCTACGCAAAGAAAGGTACATTATCTACAAACAGATTCACATCACGTTTAAACTCAGACACAAACTATCAATTACAACTTGTGATTACAATTATTGAAATTTCTTATTAGAAAATTTTGAAAAGTTAAAAAGGTAAAATCGACCCGAGAAGATTGAGAATTTTGTGTCGAACTCCTTGACCTTGGTTGCTGATAAAGGCAAAGACTTTGTTTATTGTATCTTCCCAGATTATAAATATGTTATGGCTGAATTTTTGTTGTTGTGCAGGCTACGAGACTTCTTGCGAGTTTGATAGTTTACAGCTCTGCAGCGATAGTCAGGGCTTGTGCTCAGGCATATCGTCAAGCCCTTGCAAGTATGTTCTTTTAATCAAAGAGTTCCTTTTTTTTTTGTTGGGTACGAAGGGTAACATTTGTTCATAAATCATAACATTGATTGAAATGCTCGCAGATGCATCAAAATCGGGGGCTGCGCATGAGGCAATGCAGAATATTAAGAGAGGAAGCAGAGGGATAATAAGTGAACCAGAAGCAAGACAGATTCTTGGCGTAACCGAGAAATCATCTTGGGACGAGGTTCTACAGGTCTGTTTCTCTTCGCATTGCCTTTTGTTATTATTGGGAAAAAAAAAAAGAAACCTTGGTGTATTAGCATTGTATGTTATGTTGCAGAAATACGAAAACTTGTTCGAACGCAATGCAAAAAACGGAAGCTTTTATCTCCAATCAAAGGTCCATAGAGCTAAAGAATGCTTAGAGGCTGCTTACCAGAAGAAACCGGAGGGGATTACAACAAGCGCATAAACAAACCATAATATTGTAGTAAGAATGTTTAGAAGGAAAATAGGAAAATATCATTTGTGATACATATTAAATTTTCTTGGTGTCTCTAAACCGGTTTTGGGCCGAGAAGTTTGAAAAATTGAATGGAGAGTGACGGTGGTGAGTAATAATAAAGGCCGCAAAGGTTGAAATGAGAGAAGGTCGGTGAAGCCGGCGTTCGGACACTCACCGATTCACCGGCCGTTGTTGAAATTTTAAGAAAAAAAATTATTATGTTGACTTTTGTAGTTCTTAGGTATACTCGTTGAATTATCCTGAGATTTCAAAATCTGTCTATTTCATTTTAGTAGTGACCAACAGAATCGCACGTAGATATCAAAATCTGTCTATCTACGATTTTGGTTCTTATGTTTTGTCTTGGTTAATTTATTTGCGTCATCATTACACTATACAACTTGATAATGAAGCATACGATTCACAAAAAATAAAACAACATTTTAAGTTTTTAACGAAGGATTGCTGTGGTATCCTTATTTTATTTTATTTTCTATTTTCGGCAAAAGGTTCGACCACACATCACTGCATTTGGATACAGAATTTCTAATTTTATATTGACAGTCAACTTATAGAGTTTCCACTAGTAGACCAAGTGGTGTAAGACTTTGAAGTCCAAGTCCAAGTCCAAGTGGATTCCATCATAGTAATAATAAGACATCTTCGTTGAGAGTCTAGACCGTTCAGCAAAAGTTGTGGCGGTGTTTATCACGCGTCTTAGCCGATCATCTTACACAATTAGAAGATGATCCTTTTATTTATTTATTTGAAGTTCGGATAATGTGTTTGAAGTTCACATGTCGGCCGTCGAATTTTGTCATTTCACATGACAAACTAATTGCTATTTAGAAAAACTATTTTAAGTCAACTCGTCATTTGGTATTTTTCCAATTAGCTTTCATTTTTAACGTTTTTAAGGAAGGAAGAAAATTAGTTTGAGAGTTGAAGTTTGGTCAAGGGTTAACGGATCACATGTATGATGTATCAATTTACTGTATATATGTATGTACCAATTTATATATAAGGATAGTTTCGTAGTGCAGAAGGCAAATAATCGCACCATAATTGACACTTATGTTTGCATTAAAGTACATCGAAATAACTAAGATAATATATACTTTCGAAACTACCGAGAGAATAGTGTTTAGAGGACGATAGTTAATCAACTGGATTTGGTATGCATCATGTAATATGGCAATATATTATCCGTTGAGTTTATGTTGTAGCTAATCATATATGTAAATAAATGCCTTACACGTTCAAAGAACCATAACGAACAAAAAATAAGAGGCAAAAACAAAAAAAAAAACATTCAAGAAACAAATCATCTCTTCATCACAAGTAATACAAATCTCTTATATATCATCTCAAAACCCCTAATGAGAAGAGAACGAAGAATCACCGAACCGCCACATTCTGGCATAATCTTGCTCTTCTTGTTGCCTAGAAGAGCCACCAGAAGACGAAGAAGTTGTTGCAGCAGTAGTAGTAGTTGATACACTTTGATCATGAGACATTGAAAATCCGCTACCACTACCATATCCACCTCCCAAATTAAAACTTAACATATCATTATTACTCCCATCTTGATAGTATTGGTTATAGTAGTATGGCACATTTTGCGGCTCGGTTTGATTGGAGGAGTAATAAGTAGAGTTTGATAGCTGATTATTGGTAACATTACTTCCAAGCTGAACCCTCTCCGGGAAATTCAGCTTGGCTTTGCTTCCTTTGAACTTTAGAGCTGCTTCATCATAAGCTAAGGCTGCGGATTCGGCAGTTTCAAATGTCCCTAGCCACACACGTGCTGCCTTTTGCGGATCTCGAATTTCAGCTGCCCATTTTCCCCATGGCCTTTGCCTCACCCCTCTATAGTGTCTCCTCCTCAAGTTCCCTTTATATCAATCACAAATATCAAAATTATAAATTTCATAGTACATATAGCTCAGTATATGTATCTAAATGTATATCATCACATATCTGTGCTGACTAATTGCACCATATACAGATATACTATAATTATGAGAGAACCTCTAGCGTTTAACCTGGACCGTTTCTTTAAGTTTGAGATTTACAGCAGATATGAAATTTGCAAAAACGAAAAATTCCAAATAGTCTAACATAGTCTTGAGAATGTATACATAATACATATATACATATATACCTTGATCTTGCAGAGTATGAGCAACTGGTTGATTAGGGTCTTGTGGATTGTACACAGAAGGATTATCTTGATGAGAGGTGTTTTGTTGGCTTCCGATTACTTGAGTTAAAGCCGAGACCATAACACGCATGTCGTGTTGAGATCGAGCCGAGAAGACCGGAAATAAGTTCTCATCTTCCTCGGCTTCTTCTTTTTCCTCAGGTTCATCGCCTCCAAAGGGCATCTTCCCATTGATTCGAGGATCCACTTTTGCTAGATTTTACTAATCTTTTTTTTTTCTTCAAAAGAACAAATCCGATATAGGATTTAGAGTTTAGGGTTGTTCAGTTTTTCTTTGGACATAAAGAACAAGACGGACAAATAATTTAGGTTGAAGTGAATGAGGAAGGAGAGAGTAAAGGCTTTTTGGGGTTTGCAAATTTCTGTGACTTTTATAGAGGAAGTCTTTCTATGTGTGAACGTATGACCTTAAAAAATATACGTGAAGCTTGATCTTTTTTTTTTTTTTTTTGAGTATTCGATTGTCTTTAACTATTAATCTGTTTTTAATGTTAGTTTTATTATTGCAGAAAAAAGTAAGTCTGTACGATCAGTACGGGTCGATTTTTTTTGGGGGGGGCTTAAATAAAATGAAGACATGTCTAACATGAGAATGTTTGTTGAACTTTTCCTAATGAGGAAAGTACATGTGTATGTAAAATATCAGACTGGAGGTGATATTTTATAAAGACTAGTACAAAAGATACTACACGAGATGGAAAGACTAAACATGCAAAAGTCTAAAAGAATAACATAAAGAAGGGGAAAATGCATGCATGTTCACGTTTTGTTTAATTATTTTCCTTCGTAAAAGGGTTAACACACTCATGGACTCGAGGGAAAGCAATAGTATTCTTTCTGAATATTCATTTTAAAATATAAAAGAACTCTCGTGTTCTTAGCAATAGCTAGCTGTAAATGTAATGTAAACCGACAATATGTTTTTCGTCTTAAATCGATATATATTCTCTACAAAGCTGAAGGCGATGAAAAATGGCAATATGAGTTTGCGTACGTGTGAAGTGAATCTATTATTTTTTGTTAGTTACGGTTTGACTAAAAGTTTGCAATACAAAAGGCATTTTTAAACCTCTGAAACCAAGAACCGTGTACACACTCAAATCGAATTAAACAAAGTGAAACATATCCTTTGGCAGGAATTATGCCGAATAAACATTTAACAAGATACAGAGATACTGTATTCACTTATATATAGTTTTATAGATGCAATATAAAATCACGTTGTACAATATTATATCTATCAATGTTTGCTAGTAGACAAATGCAGCAAACAAGAAACTCGTGAGACAGTTATACGTTTTCCTCCTATAATTCCTAATTTGATTGAAATCTTTAAATCATGCTTTCTTATTTTGCAAATCATATTAACAACATAAGTAGAAAGATATTTTCAAAGACTATTTTAAATAAGCTGTATGATGAACAAAATTTTAGTGTTATATTTTGTAGCATTGTTTAGTTGCTAGTGTAAGGTATTTGTGTACACGCTTCTGCTTTCGAATGTAATTTTGTTTAGATACTATGAGACTGTCTATCTTTATTTCATTGGCCTATATCTAAAAAGTTTTTTTTTGGAAGAATTTTTTCTAAAAAGTTTCATGTTTGAATAACTAATAAGTATTGACCCAAAAAGGTCAACATCTAACTAAGTTGACAGGTAAAAAGAACTTTTGTACAATGTGTCAAGTGGATTAATTATACTGTAAGACTTGTAAATGCAATCCAATCACTTTGACTCCCAAGATGTGTGTTTGTGTGTGTGTAGGTGTTAGGTTCAACTACCATTTTCCTAACCGGCGGTTTATTTATGTTTATGATATAATTTTCTTAAGAGAGGATTACTACACTAACTTTAGAAAGTATCTATATTACTTATTCGACGCACTTTTATTTTTTTTACAAAACTAACCTAGCATACCTAAAACACCTTTTTCGCCTTTGTTGAAAAAAACCTAATTACGAAAATGTCATTACTTTTTTAATGTCACGTAGGCAGATTATGGCGCTAAAAAATTCATAAGTCTACCAAGCTTTGACGGTAGACTTATGAAATTCTGGTCAACGCAGAAATTTTGTTGGTAGATTTATTAGGTCGATGGTAGATTTATTCGAGAGTTGGTAGAGTTTTTAAATGTTGGTAGACTTATCTTGGTAGAGTTTTGACGATGAGAGGTAGATTTATTATGTTTCGGTAGATTTGTTGTTGTGAATGGTAGACTTGTCAAAAGTATTGGTAGACTTGTTAAAAAAAGCGTTGACTTGCTCGCATAGTTGACTTTTTCGGTAGATTTATTGACAATGAAGTAGATTTATTTTCTGCGTTGGTAGACTTATTTCCTTTAGCGGTAGATTTATGTGAAAAAAGTTGTCAATACGTGCGGTAGACTTATCTGTTTTATGGTAGAGTTATATATAGTTGGTAGAGTTTTTGCTTTTGTGGTAGATATGTTGACTTGTGGTAGATTTAATTCAGTTAAAATTCATTCCGGTTAGTGGTAGATTATATGTTACATGAGGTAGACTTAAAAACTTTTGGTAGATTTATTTGTTTTGTGGTAGATATGTTTGTTTTGTGGTAGACTTAAATTTAAAATAAATTTCATTGTGGTTTGTGGTAGATTAATAATTACATGAAGTAGACTTACGAAATGTTGGTAGATTTGTTTGTATGTTTGGTAGAGTTTATGTAATCTGGTAGAGTTATCTAACGTATGGTAGACTTCTTAAAATAATAATGTGGTAGATTAATTAAGTTTGGTATTTACAAAGATAACTTTGATCTGGTAGACATATGACATGCTTATGGTAGACTTGTTTATATGGTAGAGTTATTTTTCATGCTTGAGGTAGACTTAGTAGTTAATGTTTGGCAGACATTTGACTTTATGGAGTGAAATTACTTTTTTGTCCTAAATATATTCTCCTATCTACGAAAAAACCAGCGGTTTGGTAGACTTGTTTTGGAATGTTGTATGTTAAACAGGTTTCGTACATATGGTAGACTTGTTCCATGGTTATATTTGACTTGGTTTTGTTACCATTGACGTTTTCTTTGTATGAGTTTGCTAAGATTATGTCGGTTAACTGGGATTCGATCACAGATGAGTATTGGTCTTTACGATATAGATGTCATAATCAATGATCAAAAATTTCTAACATGAATATTTTTTCTATGATATATCTTTTCTCTAAGATAACTTTGCTTTTCATATTAACTTTGAACATATATGTCATATTTGTAATAACCATCTCTTAACTTATGATCTTTTGATTTTTATTTTTGAATATTTGTTACATTTAACTCTATTTACATAAACTTTTACAACATCACAATGTCAAATGATTTCAGTTATGATATACATCATAGTGAAAGTAAAGAAATAAATTAAATTGAATAATAACATTACTAGCAAATGTGATAAAAATGTGAAATGTCTAGATCAATGTTTTACGACAAATATAATTTGAAAACAAAAATATTATCATTCAAAATCTAATTATCATTTTTACAAATTCAAATATAGATATACCATCAATTTAATAATAAATCTACCATCATTTCAAAACAAATCTACCAAATGTAAATCTACAATTCATAGTAAAACATGTCGGATCGGTGCTGGATATCTCATCAAAGATTTGTTCACCATGGCAAAGCCCATAATCTGTCAGAAAAAAAATAAACAAATATTGTTATTCATATATAAAATTCAAATATATACGACTGATAAATCTACTATGAATAACTAATAAATCTACCAAACACATATCATTTTTCAAATAAGTTACCACTAAATGACTAATAAATCTACCAAACCACATCGTTTTACAAATAAGTCTATCATTAGATGACTAATAAATCTACCAAACGACATCGTTTTTTAAAATAATTTTATCATCAAATAACTAATAAATCTACCAAACCACATTTCGTTTTCTAAATATATCTACCATCAAATAACTAATAATCTACCAAACTACATACCGTTTTTCAAATAAATCTACCATCACACATTATGAACTTTACAACCAAAAAAATACAAAGTCGATTTCCAAATATATCTACCAAACGTACCTGAAAAAAAAAATTTATGCCGCCGACAACCTCCACAACACCACACCATTCCATCGAAACAATGTCTATCCACTGCGGTTGTGCGCGACGCGGTGAGAATGCTGCTTAAGAGTCACCGCCAACCGCCACATCTCCATAGTTTATCGTTGATATTAGATCCAAAAACCCAGATCTAGAAAAAATCAAAGAATTCGAAAAAATGAAAAAAAAAACTCACATAATAGCAGAATGAATTGTAAAAACCATGGGAAGATCTAGATCTCCGAGCTTGGAAACGTTGGAGGCTTCTTGATACAAAAAATCGGTAGAACTAGTTGTGTTTTTCTCGATCTGAAACATGGAAGCTTTGAAGTTCATAAAGAATACATATTCATACAACAAAATTTAACAAAACAAAAGAAAAGATAAAGAGGAGAGCAAGAGAGGAATGAAAAGGTTGAAGAAGAGCAGCTCCATCGGAGAAAAAAAAAACGGCGCAAGAAAAAGAGAGAGAAGAAGAATTAGGGTTTTTTTTTTTAGTTTTTGGTTTTGTATTTTTTTTTTTTTTTTTGCTTTTTTCGTTTTAAAAAAATGTTTTTTTTCGTCAAAAAAAATTTCGATTTTTTAAAATTTTTTTTTCGAAATTAAAGTTTTTTCGAAAAAAAAAAATTTATAAAAAAAAATCATAATGGCATTTTTGTAATAATATTCAACATCTGGATAAAATGGACTTAACCCAACTTTATAAGGTTAGTCTAGTAAGCCCTTCAATATGTTAGGTTAGGTTTGTCATTTTATTAACCTTAAAGGTTAGTCTGAAGAATTTTTACTTTTCTTAAAATTAAAGCATTACTGTTGAATGTCTTTAATTAGTCTCACTCCGATCCCCCTCCTCCCCTGCACCCCCTCTCCCGATTATATAATAAATCTTAGATCATCATGTGAAACCTCAATATTCATCAATTAAAGCAGAGTTTTAAGACCTTTTAGACTATTGTTTTCTCATGTTTTAAAAAGTAAATCGTTTTCAATCTAGAGCTTCAGCGAGTTATGTGCACTATTTTATTGAAAATAAGAGAAAGCTGCACCCATCAGAACGCTATGAATTTCGAAAATTGGAAATAGGTGAAAACTTACAAGACAGCCAATCCAATGTGTTATTATCAGTCGCTTACTCGCTTCATTCGAAACTTTTTACATCCAAGATTCAGAAAAAGAAAGAAAAAAAAGAAGTCAATGTAATCGCCCAAAACGGCAGCGTATTTGGCAGATGTAACCTGTAGGAGTAAAGCCTCGCCCAAAACGGCAGCGTATTTGGCAGCTGTAGGAGTAAAGCTCGTGTAGAGTATATGTACACTTTCCTTTGGCAAATCATTTACACACGATCGATCTTTCACAGAGGAATTGGCTTCATATTACGGATTCTCATATACGTCAAAAACTGTGAAGGCAGTTCTGCAAGAAGTGCTTGTACCACAGAGATCTCTCCATCTGCAAAAACACAACAGTCATTAAACCCCATCAAAATCACACGTTCAGACCGTTCTTATGCGTTTCCCGCGGTTGAATTCATCAAACAAAACTCACGTTGGACGTCTCGAAGTGCCACAAACTGAACGATATCTCGTGAAGCCACTCGTCCGCTCGAGCTCTCCAGTCTTTCTCCTCTATCTGCGTCTAGTATCTAAGAATCCCCCACCAAAACAAAAACACAGTTAACACAAGATCATATAAAGTTGTAAGAATCCTAAATGTCATTTTCTTTCTACAACACATAGTCTTTTACCTCCATCTCTTTGAAGTCGGCTCCTCCAACTCCGACAATGAGGATTGATAATGGCAAATCCGATGCACTGACTAATGCATCTTTTGTTTCTTGAAGATCTGTTATAACACCATCCTGAAACAAGTTTTTGTTTTTTTTTATGGTTTATGAACAAAGTTTGATTGTGTTATATTATGATATTTTTTTATGTTGGTTTTTTTATATACACTCACTGTGATGATTAGTAAGACGTAATATCGCCGTGAACCTTGAGCTAGAGACTGGCTGGCGATCATCGCAGCAGAGTTGATCACCGGACCAAAAAGGGTAGGCCCCGCAAGAGAGACGTTGAAGAGGGCACTGGTGTATGAAGTCATGATTCCTTGAATCCCATCCACCTGAGAGAGAGGGAGAACACTGATGTGTGAATCCCAAAACATCAAAGTTTTAATTTTAAAAATACGCGAGTCGAGTTAGTTTACCTCACAGTATGAACTGCTTCCGTTGAGGTTAAAGCAATGTGACACTGGACCGTCAATTGGACGAGCTCCGAATCCCCAGGCAGGGAAACGTTTGTCTGAGTCATAAAACTGCAATACCTCTCCAACATCCACTATTGCCTGAGTTTTTAGAAAAAATATAAAGAGAGATCATGATCGATTTCAGCCACAGTTACTGCTAATTAAGAAATAAAATGACAATGAGTCCTCACTCTCTGGTAGGCATTTAATCTCCCTGAAGGATCAATGTAGTGCAAAGAATCAGGTAGGCGGGGATTTCCGTTTGAAGCTGAAGGACAACAGAAAAAGTTTAGATTAGAGCACAGGAAGGCCATGGAGGCAACGAAACACTTTCTTGTTGATAAATTGTTTTTGCAGGTACCAACGACATTACATATTGAATTGAAAGTTTTTAGGAATTTCTGCAGTGGTATACATACCTGTGAAATCGATTGCTACCATGAAGCTTAATTCAAACCCAGATGCCAAGTATTCTAGGAATGTGTGCTGGACAGCCTCAGTAAATTTTTCCACAAAAAGCTGGCTCTTTAACACCTAAAATAACGATAAATGGTATTAGAAAGCTTACATGAAAAGGCATGAATTTGTAAGGACATCTTTTAGTATTGTTTTATACCTTGTTTTGTCCAGCACCAGTAGGCAAAGATAAATTGATTCCTTGGCGAGACACATGAAGTTTTTCCAATTCTGAAAGCGATTTCTGAACTTTTCTGGCCACCCAAAATAAACGAGTAATTACGTCAGCTAACAGCCTATATAAGTCACTTCAAAAACGAGATAGACTGAGCTCTAAGATTTTGTTTACCCGATCAGACTGTGTTTGCCATTGGAATTGAAGTCTGAGCATTCTATTATCAGTGGGCTGTCCTGTAGGATTATAGGAAAAAAAATTGAGACACCTTTTGTGAATCAACATGCATCTCAAACAGAGAAACAGTCTTTATATTCATTGGTTACATATAATTGGTCAAATTCAGATATAAGAAATTTCCTGTACCTTACTTCCCACTTGTTGAACACTTAGAAAGACTGGTTTCCAAATAGGGTTAAGATTGTTTTTAAGGACTTCAGTTTTAGACACCGGGATCGGAGTTCCATGCTCCACAATCTTTGATACCACCAAAAAGGGGTCCTACAGATGAGCAAACAAAAACGAGTTATATTTATGTCTGAACTATACTTTTAGCAAAATGGCAAGGAGAATAATTCCACAAACTTACACTTTTTGAGAAAAGATCCTTAGATTCCAGACTCGAACATCTGAATACAATCTCGGTTGTAATCTTAGAAGCAAGGGACTCCTCAGCATGGATAATAAGCTTTCCATTGTGAGGCTGAGTCTGTGCGGCAAAGCCTTCTTTACGCTTGAGCTCTAATGTGATCGTCCTAGTTGATTTTGTGATTATCTGCGTAATTGAAAAGTAAATATAAAGTGATTCTCTCTCCCTTATAAGCTAGGCCATAAAACGAACTTCTACTTTGATTCTCAAAGAACCAGCAATGCCATGTCCATAAATATTGCAATGCCAATTTTCGGTCTGTAAAATGAGAAAGGATAGCATTTAAGCAGTTGATACCTCAGACAATGCACATGTTGCCTCGCCGAGAAACTGCTGTTCGTCAAGCTTAAGCATCTGAAAAGTAAATCTTCAGTAGTAAGCACACTACATATTACACGATTGACGAAAAAGTAGATTGTGCATGACAACAATTCAACCCTTTCTGTCTAGATAAATGCATGTTGACATTCAAAGGGACAAAATACAGTATTGACATTAAAAAAAAAAAGAGTACATAAGATTAGCAGTTACCTCCTCTCTTGAATTTTGATACTGGGTGTCAACATCATACACACGAAACCTGAGTGTAAGAAAAACCAACAGAACGAGTCATATACTTTCATGTAAAGGTTTGGAATCTCTTTCACATATAAGATTTAGAATCTTACAACAATGTCTGCACAGTCTCAAAATGATAAGCGACTATGAATTTCTTAATCCATTTTGGAGCTAAGGAGTTCAAAACGACTTCGCTGCGGAACACTTCGGTAAGTGTTGCATCTTTTTCCTTTTTATAGACAACCACCATAGGATCACTCTGCGAAACAAAGAAGAGAAGAAACTCTATCTTCAACCATTTTTTTTTTAAAAAAAGAGCAAACCAAAAAGCAATTAGAGGAGTCAACTAACCTTGGAGAGCACGTCCCGGTCTCGTAAATTAGAAGCAGAAAACGATAGCTGCAAAAACAAACAAAACATTATCAAAACATAAAAGAAAATCGAAATCCACACTCTCCGTCAAATGATGAAATTCAAACGAAGCACACATATTGTTAAACGTGTTATCGAGGATGAATGAACAACGCGAAATAACGACGAGAAGAATGATGAAGAAAGAACCTCAATCTGAGAGAAGAGTCCGTTGAAACCTCGAGACTTGAGATAGTAATCAACGGCGTCGTTAGTAGTGCCGAGAGCGGCGGAGGAAGCACTTCCACCAACGCCGGCTGTAGCACCAGCGCCGGAGGAGACATCGGAGCAGCAGTTACCCATTCGATAATCCTCACAGGAAAAACTTTGGATGATCGGAGAAGCACCTGGATCGAACAACACAGACAACCAGAAGGAAGAAGAAGAAGAAGAAGAAAATTTAGAAAAAAAAAAAAAAAATCTGGGAGGCGGTAAATAGGACCCACTTGTCCAACTCAGACCTTTCTTTGATTGACTCGATCGTCTCCCTTTTGATAGCCTTTTATACTTTTTTTTTTTTCTTTTTAAAATTTCAAACCGAGTTTTTCATTATCTTAAAATTGACTTACAGACAAGAAGGATATTTACACGAAATATCCAAGAAACGTTCAGCAGTTTTCTGAGAAATTATCTAGGTAATAATCTTAGTAAGCGTCTTAGTCAATTCAATTTTATATATAGTTTTTCTAAGATTACGACACAAAATCTGTAATTATTTTTATTTTATTTTTAATCCACACAAAATCTATACTTTAGACAGTAATTATAATATTGATTAAACACATAGTTTTGGTTTTAAAAAGAGAATTAGTTAGGACATGAAATTAAAATTTACCAGACCTTAGTCCTTTATAAGATCTGGAAGCTGCCATGTCCCATGTTATTTGTTTTGATCACTAAGATCTGAATTCCATTCTGTATATATAATTGTTAAATACTAGTTGATGTAAATGATGTTTTTTTAGTCATTTGTTGGCAATACAATATTGTTAAAACATTCGTTTTTTTATATAAAAACATTTTGTTGTCCGCTTACATCGAATCATTGTTAATTATGACTAGTGACTTATAGGTCAATAATAAACATATTAAAGTGGAACAAAAGATTTCCATATGGAAAATGGTTATAAACACTTTTCTTAATAATATTGGGTCAAATTAATAATTTTATTTACAGTACAGTTGTATGTTTTTTTTTTTGTTAAACTAGTACACTTGTATATTGGCAACTGGATCTACGTTTCTTTTGTAATAAAGAATGTTCTTCACAGAAATTTTGAGAAAATTTCAGACTAGATAAAGTAGTTGCTTTTGAGAGATATTCAGACGGCAAGTTGTTGTTATTGGAAAAACACTACAATTGCCATTAAAGTGAGGGTAGGAAAATAGTGAGGGACTTTCACGTGAGAAAGATTACACATTTGGATAATTATTACTATGGAGAGAGACCGTTGTAATTTATATAAATTTAATACAAGCCGTATGATTTACACAACTCGGAAATTTTAAGCAAAAATTCCCTGAGATTTGTATATGGTATAGTAAGTATATGAGGTATATTATATAAATTTCAAAAGTGGATGGGATAATATATTTTATTGACAAAAAAAAAGACGTTAGGATAAAATTTAATAAATCTGAATTTTTTTTAGATTTTTCATCTCCGACCCAAATGACCTCGCGATATTTCGAGACAACTCAGAGAGGCGGGTCTGAATTTATATTTCCAGTTTTAGTTTTTTCTTTGTCGATAATGTTATTAATATGTGACAAAACAACGACCATCCACAAAGCTGTAAACTGACAGGACCATTGACACGCAAAATAAAAAAAGGCAGGACCAGAACCTGTAGCTTACTATAGGGGGTAGGGGGGGAAGTTGTGAGGGAAAATCTTGTAATTGGAGAAATAATAAAAAGGAAAAAACTTCTTCAAAGAGAGGAGAAGACAAACAGAAATACGAAAGAACATGTGAATAGCAATGCAAGTCTAGCTCAAACATACATAGTGGGAGACTTAGGACCCCAGAGAAAACTCAAACATAAAGCAAAGTCTTTTGTCTACCACTAAGGCTTAGGGTTTAGGCTAGTTGATCTAAAGCCAATAAGCAAAGCATATTCTTGGTCCCAAGGTTGTGTTTGGGAGAGCGATTTTGGCGCGCTGGTCAAATCGCCCCTTTTTTTAGGTGAACCTTTCACCTTTGAAGGTTTTCTTAATAGCAACACCCAATTATTAAACATGAACATACTCAAAATAAATGTTTTCGGAGAGCTTTTGATCGAAGAGTTATAATATGTTTTATTCATTTTAAATCCCAATCAGAAAAATTGCAATTCTGAAACGGGACTTGAAGAAGTTTTGATGGTCCTCCTGAATTTCCTCATGCTTAGCGCAGAAAATAAAACTTTATATGTAAAGGTCTAATAACTTACAGCAAACAACGAGCTGGAGACTCTACCTACATTGCCCCTTTTTTCCAGTGAGTGCACCAGTTTGACTCCATGCTTCCCCACCACGCACAAGTTTCCTATGGTAAGGATGTGATTTAGATTCAAAACGACAAAAATGACCAACATGCTAAGAATGGGCTCTTATTGCATAAGATAGACAAGATCAAGTGTTGAGACTAGGTATAGCTACGTCATACTCTTATAGGTGCCAGATTGCCAACACTTCGCTTCAATAGTTTTAAGATGTTTGATTATAGGTTGTGGTTGTATCCGCTGTGTGAGGGTAATAAGACTGATTCACTGTATTCCAATCTCTTGTTGCAAGATATGCCTGGTTTGCAGCATTCCAATCGGTTGTCCCGGGAGCCCCTGGTATAGAACCTTGCGTTAAAGCTTGTTGAGTGTATGCACCAGCTTGAACACAGTATTGTGGTGTGTATCCAACAGCTTGAGCATGTGGTTGTGTTGTGTATCCAACAGCTTGAGCATGTGGTTGTGTTGTGTATCCAACAGCTTGAGCATGGGGCTGTAGAGCGTACCCAGTTGCTGCAGCATGGGGTTGCAGAGAGTACCCAGATGCTGCATCATGGGGTTGCTGAGCGTACCCAGTTACCGCAGCTTGGGGTTGCTGAGCGTATCCACTTGCTGCATCTTGGGGTTGCAGAGCGTATCCAGTTGCTGCAGCATGGTGTTGCCGAGCGTACTCAGTTGCTGTGGCATGGGGTTGCTGAGCGTACCCATTTTCATGGGGTTGTTGAATATAACCAGGTCCACCAGCATAGAGTTGAGTAGTAAGCCCCATAGCTGCATACTGTTGCTGTTGTGGGTAACTAATTGTTCCAGCATATGATTGTGTACTTTCTTCCACACTCCCAGGCTGTGAATGCGTGGTATAATTACCCGCTACAGATTGAGGTTGGTTTGTGAAACCAATTGTCCCAGCAGCAGGTTGTGGGGTTGCACCATGTGCCGATGTAGTATAGCCGGCTGTGTCAATATGAGATTGAGCAACACTAAGTGCCTGCATATCTGATTGCATGGACACTGTAGTATTTGGAACTGTAGATGCTTCTAGGCGATAGAAGGTCCCAGCAGGGATCTCACGCTGCTGACTAGATTCCCCTTCCTTTTGTGATGCTGAAGTGTAGAACTCACTTTTATACACACTACCATCAGATAAAGAAGAATGCTCATTCCCAGATAGCGCTGAAGGGTAATACTTATTATCAGAATAAGGTGAAGCAAACTGGTCCTTCTCTGATGACGTTGCCGGAAAATATTCATTTTCTTGGGCCAAGCGCTCTGGGGCAGTTCCATATCTGTCATAGCAAAAAAAAAAAAAAAAAAAAAAAACCAAACCTTATGATTACATAGTCACATATACCTGCAAAACCAGAAAATAGAAACAATGCAAAAATTATCTGCAGAATGGAAAAGTGTAGTAGAGTTCTCAGGTCTAGCTATGCTTTGAAACCTTTGATGACTACAAATGTAAGGTCTTTCGTGAGGAAGGAAATATGCTTCCTAGTGAATGATCAATATGTTCGGCGGACGACAGAAGTCCAAGTTGGCACTCAGTACGAAAAAGGATGCTACATCAAATGAGTTATCGTCTAAGAAAATACCAAAAACTACCACATCCATAGTTACCTCCGGATATTAGATAAAATGGTTAGGTATTTGAGTTGGGGGTCTTGTATAGATGAGCGGGAAGGGTCTCCGAGCAACCGTTGCTGCCGACTTTCTGTAGGAAGATAAGGCTCACTCAATTTTGACAGACTTAGTGCTTCTCTCACTGGGGTTGTGTAGTCGTCTTGTCTGGAGTAATTATGATGGAGCAGAGGTGTGTGGGGAACAGACTGATGAGCCATAAGAGAGCCATGTCGTGGATCTGCATGACGAGCAGACATAGGATCTAAAACTGACGACGGATTTCTAAGTTGTGTAGCAGCTATGAACCGTTCCTCAAAAGACAGCGCTCTGGGTGCTGAGGCTATGGAAGCCAATCTCTGAGGTAATGCATCGAGTTCTGGAGCAGTGAATGAACGAAATAATGACAACAGAGACATAACCTGCAATCCATGAACATTTGTTCAGCACCTTTACAATAATAAGGGGAAAAAATAACCAGGAAAGCCTGGCACTTTAAATGATATCTTGTAAATAGCAAGAAAGTGGGTTACTTGGTGAGGAGCAAGTTCTTGCTTAAACTTGCCGCCTTTGTAATTTTCATAGATAGCAGACTTGAAAGTGTTTTCTGGCAAGGGATAACAGTTCTTGATAATTCTAAATCCAACCTGCCAAGGTCAAGGAAAAAAGAGCGATAAGATTAATCTTAGGCACATTCAGTTGAAATTTATCCAGTGCCATTTAAACAGAATCATGTGTATTGAATTTCACAGGCATTACCTGAGCTGGATATTTCTTTTCAAAAGCTTCTGGTTCTATATCCAACTTGCCACCAATAGTAGCTTCATATACACCATAAAGAAGTCTCTTCTCAAAGTCATAGAGGAAAAGCTTCATGCCTGGTTTTATACTCTCAACTATGTTTTTTCCCGCTCTTGGAATACCGAAAACACGGTAACGAAAGCAATCAGATTTTGTTCTCCCATTACACATAAAGATATAACCAGGTAGCTGTTCATGATCCTGTCTCCTTTCGATCCCGTTTTCTAATCCAATGGTAGAATTTCCATAAACAGGCATAAGACCAGTCCTATTATACGCAGGAGGAGTAGAATATTGGGAAACGAAAACATGCGCGTTCGCATTAGTTTGTCCACCATCGCACAGCTCCATCTCCATCTCCATAGCCTCTGCCATTTTACACTGTATTTCAGTAATAGAAGAACAAGGAGAGCAAAATAAGAGCATCTATGCACAATACAGGACGAAACAGCAGAGAAGAGGTCACTGGAATTTAAATTTTAGAGCTTAAAGCGATTGATGCACAGTAAAATCGAAGCAGTATAAATGAAGGAACCAGAAACAAATGTGGGATCGAGAAGAAGAATAAATCGCATACAATTACGAATCGATATGGGAATCGAGATTTTGAAGAAAAAAAATATGCGACTGTGAGCCAAGAAGAATCTCCCAGGTATCGAAAAAGAAGAGCCTAAGAATTACAGGAAAATCTGATGAAAATGACGCGAGAAGAGCAGAACAAAATTGACTTACCTGAGGATATACGACTTTGAAAACCTAGGACAGAAATTGGAAACCACGGTGTAATTGAATTTGGAAAGCGGTTTTCCGATCAGCTCATTATCTGCTTTGGTTTTTTCCGACAAATTTCAGTGCGAATCTGAATAGAAGAAGTTTTAAGTTTCATGAAAGTCGAGAGAAATATGACTTTCGTGCAAGTGCAGAAGAGGAAGAGAAGGAAGCTCACGTGACAACTGACAACCATGGAAAGAAAATGGGCCTTTTACTTACTGGGTCTATATGAATTAATATCAGCCCAATTTTAAACAACAGATCCATCAGATAGCTCAAAAGAGGCCTACGAGTGACGGACGAGTTTACGAAAACGAAACTAATTTGACGTCATAAATTGGTTTAAAACTTTAAATAAAATAATATCGGAAATTTGTGAAGTTTGGAACATTCTGACAAGCAGTTACCCAAAAATTATATATATATATATATATAAGATTCAAGACCTAAACCATCATCTTCTGAGTGAGCTCATCCCATATCTTTTTACAGGCCCTCTTGAACATTAACGTTCTTAAAGAAGATTTATAACACAATGAACAACCATTTCATGAAGAACTAGAAGAACAAGTTCCTTGTGCGCTACAAAATTTATTTACTGCTGTTGTCTCGGGGGAAATAGAAACTGAGGGAGTCTTCAGTGTCATCTTGAGCGACTTACTTGCTTCTCTAGAAGAAGTTCTTTCCATGGTAGCTTCTAAGGATGGTATTATTATTTTCTTGTCAACAGGCTTAATAGTATTTTTGTTCACTCTTTTCAGTCGAGTGATGCTGCTGAGGTACTTGTTAGCATCCTTGAGTTTTGGCATTGCTGGAAAAATTCAGAAAGAGAAAGCTTGGTGACTCGTCTTTTTACGTTGGAGGAAAATGAAATAATCAGTTTATCCGAGGATTAGCTCAACAAATAAACCAGGCCGGCTAATCAATAGTCAATACTACCCAATACACAAAACAAAACAACAAATATTCTTCCTTGGAATGATGACTTTTCTCTAATGGACAAGTCTTACACACACATGAATAAGAAACACAAAATTACAAACAAGAAAGAAGAAGGAAAGAAATCAAGAAGACACAGAAAGCTTTTTTTTTTTGACAATTACCGCTTTATAGTTATAGCTGATCAAGTAGAACTACTACCATTATCGTTATGAGACCATCTCCTGAATGTGCAAGTTACCAAGTTCCTTGCAGCAAGAAACCCTAACTTTGACCTAATCGTCGCTAATCTACTTCCTCCATTGTTGCCACCACCATTACCTGAACCAATCTCCGCCACATCCACAGCTGTTTCAGCCTCACCATCTACCACGACCGTTGCGTCGGTTTCATCACTATCCATACTCACCACAAGCGTCCTCCTCTGTTCACGCAGCCATTCTCCGATTTCTCCAGTCACCCCTCTACATTTTTTCACCTTCAACTTCACCAGATTAGGACAACCAACAGCGAGCGCCTCGATCCCTAGATCCGAAACCGCACATCCTTTGATACAGAATTTCCTCAAAGCCCCACATTTCTTAGCTATGCAAGCGATCTCTGTATCACCTATGGTTCCACTTCCGCAAAGTGCTAATCGTTCAAGTTTCCCACAGTTTGAAGCAATGGCTGCTAAACTCATATGTGTTGCATTAACACCAATCAGTACAAGTTCTTGCAAGTTTAAACAGTGTTTAGCTACAGCCATCAGACCCTCATCACCAATCCTATTAGTCCTCCAACCATCAATGTGGAGTTTCCTAAGCAGCTTACATCTCTCAGCGACATTAATCAGACCAAAGTTTGAGCATTCTGGTGTTTTCACTATATGCAATGTCTCTATATTTGAGCATTTTGATATCGCAGAAAGCCCGAGGTCACTCACTTGGAGCCTCTCAAGGTGGATTTCACTCAGTGAACTATTTCCATCTCCGATCGTTTGAAGAACTTTATCCCAGTCACCCAAACAACGGATGATTTTCAGAGTTTTCAGGGTTTTTGTGTTAGCAACCAATGGTTCAAATACCTGGCCATTAACGAGCTCCTTCAAGCAAATCGATCTAAGCGAAGAGGATGAGCCAGCGGCTGGCAGCTGAATCAACTCGGCTGCTTCATGGATTCCTCGAAGTCGCTTCACCGACAATTCCTCCAAGAGCTTGCAATGTTCGAGCATCGCGTTCATGCCTCTCGCTCCGAAGTTGCATGACCCAACCGAAAACTTCTTCAGATTCTTACAATTCCGAGCGAATTCTTCCATTCCCAGATCCGTGATCTCGCGACAACCACGAAGCTTCACGCGGGTCAGATTCAAGCAACGGACGGAGATCATAGCCAAAGCCTCGTCGCTCAAACTAACAGATTTCCGATCACATCGGAGAGCGAGCTTCGTCACCGAATCGAATCGGTTGAACATAGAGGTCAGGAAAGAGAAGATCTCGTCCTTAGCATCCAGAGATAACCGATGACGATTCTGACCGTCGACGAACAACCACCGTTTGCAAACAAGAGAGCATCGCTTACGATCTCCAGCTCCAAGGTACTGAAATACATGAGCCAAACACTCATCCGGCAGATCTCCGGTAAAATCACGATCTCTGACCGCAACACCATTTCCTAAATCCATCGATCCTCCTCCACTAGCAATCACCGGAGACCATAACCTCAAATCTATCTCTCTTCCGTTCGGTTCCGCCGTAGACGACGGCGCCTGGCCCATCACCGAAAGGGTTTCGTTTCCTCTTTTCCTCCCCTCTCCGTAACTTCGGTTCTGGGTTTCTTCTAGCTCGTTTCAAGATATGAATCTATCTGACTCTTCTATTCAATGCGAATCTGAATAGAAGAAGTTTTTAGTTTCATGAAAGTCGAGAGAAATATGACTTTCGTGCAAGCGCAGAAGAGGAAGAGAAGGAAGCTCACCCCGAAGCTCACGTGACAACTGACAACCATGGAAAGAAAATGGGCCTTTTACTTATTGGGTCTATATGAATTATTATCAGCCCAATTTAAATAACGGGTCCATCAGATAGCTCAAAAGAGGCCTACGAGTGACGGACGAGTTTACGAAAACGAAACTAATTTGACGTCATAAATTGGTTTAAAACTTTAAATAAAATAATATCGGAGATTTGTGAAGTTTGGAACATTCTGACAAGCCGAGACCAGAGGTGGTGTCGTCGTCTCGTAGTGATACATATCGGTCGTAGTCTTTGATATGATCAGCTTTTAGAGCACAAAGTCCTGCTTTTTCGACACGTGTTCGATTTCAGCTAATCTTACCGAAGATCATCTCTCTTTGTAAATTTCAGGTTCGTCGAATTGTGATTTGGATTTACGATAATAGGGCTTCTTAGGAGTTGGACGTTTTCCTCTCTATATCTCCTTAGTGGATATGATTCTGCCCTTGCTGTTACCTTGAGACGCTTGATCGTAATTTCGGTTTCTGGGTTTCTTCTAGCTCGTGTCAAGATATAAATCTACGGATTTGCCATTGATTTGTGCTCTCTCCTTTTTTACCCATCTTCGATTGCTAAATCTCATTGTACAGACAATTTTGTTTTTTCTCGGAAAGTAGCTACCTTAGTGTTGAAGTTCAGTTGAGTTAGCAATGATCGACTCAGTCTTATGATAAATGTCGAGCCTTATATAAATCATGTGTCATACTTGGCTAGATTTTTGCGCTCTGTGATGTGTCTTCAAGTTTTAATTTTTTTTTCTATCTATTCTATTTCCCTGGCAGAATGTCTTCAAGGGAGAGGATTGGTTCTAAGCATCATAGCCGAGTGAGCCAAGACATGTCAACTAGTGGATCATCATCGAGGCACCACGAGACCGTCTCTTCCACTTCTGATCACCGTCACCACCGGAATTCTCATCCCGAGGTTCTTGAAAACAAGATTGCCGCTCGAGCTGCTGAGATAGAGCGGGTCTCTAGTGACAACCGGAAACTAGCTGCAAGCTACGTAGCTCTCAAGGAAGACCTAACCGTGGCTGACCGTGAAGTCCAGGGGCTAAGAGCTCACATCAGAAACACGGAAACAGACAGCGAGATTCAGATCCGAGGCACCCTTGAGAAAATTGTGAAATTGGAGGGTATTGTCAACAACAGGGAGAATATAAGGAGGGAGCTGCAATTAGCTCACATTGAGGCTCATAGATTGGCCAGAGAACGCGAAGAGCTTGCTTCACAGGTGAAGTCGGCATTGAAGGAGTTGAAGAAGGTTTGCATCGAGTCTGAGGGTTTAGAAGCGTCGAGCCAAGAGCTTGAGCGGTTGAAAGAGGAGCACCAGAGATTACGGTAACATATAATGTCTTTTTATATGTCAAAGTAAACTGTTAAGCTTTCATAATCAGTTGCTTAAATCATTTGGTTTGGTTCAATGGAACAGGGAAGAGTTCGAGGGAGAGAAGAGTGGGAACGTTGAGAAACTTGGGCTGTTGAAAGAGATGGAGAAGAACATTATCGGAGCGGTTAAAGCGATTGAGAAGCTGCGAAGTGAGATCGCAGCCGCAAGGAGCAGAGCGGTTGAGAACTGAGAATAATTAGAGATCTAAGGCCCAATAGGCTCTCTTGTATTTAGGAAGGATACAAAGAACCAAAATTGTGTTCTGATTTTTTTCCTAATATTAATAAGCATTCTTTTTCATACCAACTGTTTCTACTGAAAAATAGATAGTGAGAGTAGGGATGTGATCGATGCTGAATCACATTGAAAGGTCAAGCGACTAGATCGACTTCATCACGTTGAGGGTAAACCACATCAAGCCTCATCATACTCTTGTACTGGTCAGGCACCGGTGCACCAGCTTGCACACACAACTCCACAACCGCAGGAGCTTTCCCATAAAACCTCTGCAAGCTATTGTCAAGAGCAGAACCATCTGGATCCCGAACATGCCACACATAGTTTGGACCGACCACATCATCAATCGTAGCTTCTTGCCACGCATGCATTCCGTCTCGCATCTGATGCTTCGTCGCTTTACACATCCTCACTTTGTGTCCCTTTGGACCCACCTGAATCTCTGGACAGTACCCACAAGTCCACACTTTGTATCTCTCCATCAGTTCCCTGACCCCTGAAACCATTTCAAACCATGACTCCATCATCTGAATGCTTAGTTCCTTCAAGCTCTTCTTATCCGCGTTGCAACGATCATCTTCTTGTAAATGTACAGTAGTAGTGGTAGTAACTGCGGTTTCTGGATTCCCGTCGACTTCCTCGAAATCTACAATCCTTCCTTCGATGCTGTAAACAGGTTTCGATCTTCGCTTTGATGGGAATTTCTCGAGGTCTACGCCGGCCTGTAAGCATAACTCGAGAACCGCAGAGATTTTAGGGACGGTAAATCTCTCGTCGTGTGTAACTCTCGGTTTGACAGCACGGTCATAGAGGTGAAAACTTTTTGGAAACAACACGACATCGCTCGCTCTTCCTTTTTTCCAGACATGAGTCGCACTTCTTGAACCGCTCCCTGAGCCTGTGCAAGTCCTGATTTCATGTCCTTCCTTGCCAATGTGAACCTCAGAGCAGAATCTGAGAACAAAGAACAAAGTTAACTTAGAGGCACTCGAACTCCAAAACTAGCTAAAACCATCTAAGGTTACCATTGTTACATCATGCGTGTGCCTTTTTTTCATTTTTTTGATCGTATATCTTTCAAATCGTAAACGCAATTTACAAAAGAAATTTGAATAAACACTAAATCTTCTAAGGAAACACATTATTCTAACATAAAAATACAAATGCAACAAATTGGTTGAGGCTAACTCAGCTGCTTCAGCTCAAGAACAAGAATACCGAAATCAAACTATATATTTTGTTCCAATCAAGTAAATCATAATTTCACTGATGTACAAGCTAATGCTTCGAGGATCTAATTGAGCAATAATCCATATGATTCCAATGTATTGTAAGCTAAAAGTCATTGCCTCTCCCGGAAATGATAACAGTGAAATTTCTAGTTCAAACAACCAATAGGAATCGTTAAAGCTTCAGAAAATCAAAACAGAGAATGAGACACGTAGTTAAGTAACCTGCAGCGATGAACAGGAATCTGATGAATGATTTTAGAGAGGCCGGAGAGTAACGAGGCGCGACACCGGTGAACTCTGTGAGAAACGTGGACGAGTTCCGGCACGAGTAACCCGTTATCAGGTGGATCTTCCAGAACTCGACAGGGCTGTGATTTTCTCAGTTGTTTCTCCTCCTTGGCGCGCCGAATCAACTCCTTCATCGGAGTCGGATATGGCTTCCTCTCCGATTTATCCTTTCGAGGCTTGGGTACGTCGACGTAGAGAGGATCCTCATCATCAACTGTTGTTGAGGACGGAAAGTCTAGATTGGTTAAAGATTTAATGGAAGAAGATGAAAAATGGGTTTTGCTGATTATGAAGAGTGAGATTTGCAGAAGCTTTCTTTTCTGCATTTTTTTCTTTTTTTTGCAATCGAAGGCTTAGCCTTAAAGTCTTAAACCCTCAATCTATTAATTATTTATGTTAGGGCCCAATAAACTTTTTCTTAAGAGAACTGCCCAAAGCCCAAACCTTCACGAGAGAGAGAGGGAGGAATCATGAAAAGACACGTGTCAATCTCTCGTGCTACTTGATTTGTCGAATTACTTGTGTTTCTCCTCTTATTGTTGATCTTTCAAGTCTTTACATTTCAACGGATTTTTGTTCATCTCAATTCGCAAACATGAAGAGCATTCTACTTTTAAGTCTTTTGAAGCCAAATTCGAAGATTCGCACAATTTTTGGGCTTTATTTTGTTGATTTACTACGGGAATTTACAGCTAAATCGAAGCTGTTGTGTGGACTAATCCCAAACGGGTAATGCACAGAAGATGTTCGACAAAATTTACCAATGCTTTTGTCACGTGGCTCTCGCGTGATAAAAGCCAGCCTCTTCAGTACATTGCAGTTATTTTTCGTTGATTTTCCCGCCTCTCTACTCTGACACATTTCTCTCTGAAGCAAATTTCTCTCAGAGACCAAGAAAGCCAAAGAACCTTTAGAATCGTTACTATGGCGGCTTCTTTACTGCATGATGATAAGCGCTTAAAACTCATAGGTAAGGCTAAAGAATCCGTCGCTGAAGGAGATCACATCAAAGCCTTGGAGATAATTGAAGATATGATTTCAGTTCATAGGGAAGAAGAGGGCTCATGGCTTCTTCATGTTGAACAAGGTCAAGTATTCGTGAGTCTAGCGAAAACAACAGAGGACCCTGTCTTGAAAGTTGCATACCTTTTGGCTGTTGTAGCATGCCTTTCGGAAGATGTGAAACTTTCAGGAGGTTGTGCACATGGATTATACGATTTGGCCGAACACCTTGGGTCAGTGTTGTTTTACAAGAAATTCGTGGACAAAGCAAAACAGGCTTTATCTTGGGAAAGCAAGAATCCTTTATCTTCAATGGACTTGCGAAAGCTACAAGACGAAAAGAATAAAGGATTGGAGCTTTTAATAAAAAAAGCAGAGTTCAAGATATCTGTTCACAAGACTTCTCCTTTAAAAAGCTGTAAGCCAAAGGCTTGGGAGTCAAAGAATAGTCCAGACCCGCCTAAGGATGAGTTCAACGGATTGAGGTCGTATTGGGTGGGTTTGGATGTTAAGATCAAAAGGGATTTCATGCAAGTAAGCATTGCAAAGCTTAGAAGTTTTGTCGAGGGAGTACATAAAAGAGAGGGACGAGATGCTTTGGACCAAATTCTCGCTTCTGCCGAGAAAGACCGAAAATGGACATTCTGGATGTGTCGAACTAAATGTTCGAAGAAGTTTTCTAGTGCTGAAGAGTGTAAGACTCATCTTGAACAACAACATGCTGCAGATTTTAAACCTTCTTCAGAAAAGTGTATGGTCAAGAGGATAGGAAAAGACTGGGCTCGTAAGATATCGGCTGAAGTTTGGGAACCAGTGGATATATTGGCCGCCGTTAATATGATCAAAAATCAGCTCGCAGATGTGAAAGCGTTTACATCGAAATCTAAGAAGAATGGATGGTCCAAAGAATGGCCTTTAGCTGCCGATGAAGAGCGCAGTAATTTACTCGAGGAAATCCGATTGCTCCTTGTTAAGTTTTGTGACCATCAAATTCTCTCCTGCATCATTCGAGACTGGGTGATGCGAATTCCGCTTGAGCATCTTGTGAAACTTGAAGTTTCCAGACAGAGTCTTAACGATTCTCACCTAGCGGAAACACCTCAGAGCATCTGTTTTTTGGAATGTCATGAACTCAATCAAATCCTAAACTTACTAAAGACCATTAGGTGTGAAAGGAATGATGGTACAGAGCTGGTTTGCAAAGCAGTAGACAGTCAGTTGGATCGTACACGAGTTAAAGAAACGATCGACTTTGACGAGAAGTTCTCATTTGCGCTTCTTGATAAAAGACTGTTGAAAAGCAATAAGGCTTTATTAGATAATGAAGGGACAATTAATGTTTTGGATCCCAATGTTCACTACGCCAAGGTACATGCTCAGGGAGATAATATCATATCCTGGTTAGTTGACTACTCTTCAGTAGATAAAAGCTTTCCCAAACCTATCAGGAAACACAATCTCGATATCTGGGTGGCTGTTTTGAAAGCTGTTCAGTTCACATGTAGAACATTGGAAACCAAATATGCGAAGAAAAAGCAGGTCTTATATTATGAAGCAGCTCTTACTGTCGTGGGGATCTTGTGTATGAGAGAGGATGAAAGAAGAATGAATCTTCCAGAAGATCAATGGAACAGCTATGCATCTCTTCTATGCGATAAATGTGAAGAGAGAGCCCCCGGAAATTCCCTCACTACAATAGTATTCTTGTGTGCAGTACGAGATGTTTTCGAGCAAGCATCTGGTCCGACAGTTGATTACCCCGACTTAGAAGATTGCCTGGATCTTATACGTAAGCGTAAAAGTCTCAGCGACAGTATAGTGCGGAAATCCATAGATCATCTGAAAGCAGTGGTCACCTACAAGGTTCATTCATGATTTGAATATTCATTAACAACAAAATAACGTAAAGCTGTCCGTCTAAAAGTATCTACATGGCTTGCAGGTTTTGCGAATCGATTCAAATATATTGCTGATTGATAATTCAAGGATTAGATTGCTAAACAGCCTCACGGGACTTTCTTTTTTTGACAACCGCTCTTACATGCTTCAACTGCTGAAACCATTCTTGCTGGTTGGTTTGAGACTTTGGTTGTATACAGAGAGTTTCATTTTCCGTCTGATTTGGTATTTGAGCTCTCTTATATGTTTTCTTGTCTCGTCTCATCCAGAATGAAATTGTAAATATGGAATCCAAATCTAAGTCAGATGCAACAGAAGCAGATCTTTTACGCGACGAGGAGAAGAAGTCACAGACAAAGAAGAAGAAGCAGAAAACTAAAAGCATCGAGGTCTTTGAAGTTCTAAATTCTCTATTTGCTTCTCTGACTTTTTTGGTTAATCGGTTATTAGATTGATTGGTCTTCATGTCGCAACAGAAAACTTCAACGAGCATGTCTAGTCCCCTTGATAAGACTGTTGAACAGTAAGTACCTCAAGGGTCCTTTTTTGCCTGTTCATAAACTATTTTCGGGTTTTCTCTGAGAAAAAAATTGTATTTACATTTCCAGTGAACCTTCTGTCAACCTTAAACTGGAGGAAGATTCTATAGAACCAGAAGATGGTCGATTGGAAATTTCATCCAACACTGACATTCAAGTGGACGCTTCTAAAGTTGACGGTGGTTATATAAGAGCTTCTCAGTTGAAGAATAATTTGAATTGTTTTGTTTTGAGATGCATAGTTCTTATTTTCTTTCATTGGCCATCTTCAAGATATGCAAAACATGCCTGGAGAAGATTCACTGTCGGTAAATTTGGACTCAATGCTTGGAGGAGCTGCAGCCAGATACAATCCAGCTCTTGACATAACTCTAAAGGTAAAGCAGTTACCCAAAAACAAAATATAAGATTCAATACCTAAACTATCATCTTCTGAGTGAACTCATCCCATATATTTTTACAGGCCCTCTTGAACATTAACGTTCTTAATGAAGATCTAAAACAGAATGAACAACCATTTCATGAAGAACTAGAAGAACAAGTTCCATGTGCGCTACAAAATTTTTTTACTGCTGTTGTCTCAGGGGAAATAAAAACTGAGGGAGTCTACAGCGTCATCTTGAGCGACTTACTTGCTTCTCTAGAAGAAGTTCTTTCCATGGTTCGTGTGGAGAAGATAAGCTTCTAAGGATGGTATTATTATTTTCTTGTCAATAAGCTTAATAGTATTCTTTTTTCACTCTTTTCAGTCGAGTGATGCTGCTGAGGTACTTGTATACATCTTTGAGTTTTGGCATTGCTGGAGAAATTCAGAAAAAGAAAGCTTGGTGGCTCGCCTTTTTACGTTGGAGGAAAATGAAAGAATGAGTTGTAGAAAATGCAGAAGAAAGTCAAATTATCCAGAGCAGAGTTCTTATGGCATTGTTATGGCTGCAGATTCAATCAGAGACCTGAAGGCATGTTTCATTTATCATCCTCTGTCTTTCCTACAGAAACTGGTACTTGTCGTTATAAAGATTCTGTGCTTATATATATGCAGTGTGCTTTTGGGAATATAAAGTTTGTGGATATCCTTAAGGTGATCCGCATGGAATATAAAATGTTATGTGACATTAAAACAGGAGGCTGTGGAAAGACAAACTTTGTTCATCGCATTATAAGTAGATGCCCACCTATCTTCACAATCGGTAAGTTTTGACCACCGTGATTGGGATCTCATTGTACTCATTTCATTTATTATGCTTATGATAAAATAATGTTGGTGGTGTTTTGTGGGGCTTGCATCATTAGTGGTACAATGGGAGAAAAGTGATACTGAAAAAGAAATATCTGAAACGACAAAGGCTATGGATTGGGAGATAGATATCAGCAGGCTTTACGAAGGCTTAGAACCAAACACCAATTATCGGCTTGTGTCAATGGTAAAATTCTGAAAGCAGGGTCGCAATGTTTGTGCTGTTGTTCTTCTGTATTACAGTCTCAGAATATGAGGGATGTGATGCAGGTTGGTTGTGATGAAGCAGACGAACACATTTGCATAGCTCATGAAAAGAACCGGTGGGTCAGTCTCAGACATAGTGAGTCTTTAGCAAGAGAGGTAAGAGACGAAACAGTTGCCTTTGTCTTCCTTGAGTTGAATTGTGAATTTAGATAGAGGCTAGACATTGTTGATATTATATGTGTGGTAATGCCATAGGTTGTTGGTAACTGGAAGAGTGTGGTTAGATTTTGTGGAGAAAGGAAGGTTCGACCAGAGATTCTGTTCTATGAAGCTGCCAGATCCATGACCTAGCAAGTGTATCAATATGGAGAAAAGCAGCATTGATGTATAAAACACTAACATGTTCCAATTCAACTGACAAAAGTGTTGTCTGTTCTTTAGTATGATTTTTCTGGATGGAAAATACTTTTGGAGTTTCAGTCAAGTCTCTCGGTTTGGGTTGGGTGACTTTCATTGAGGCTGCCACGCTATGTTGACACATCCATTGCATCTGGTAATTTGGCTTATGCTCTCACAACACCAAACCTTATAACAGAGCTACTCAGTTTAACGGCACGGTTATCTGTCTGGTTCATCTAAATGCTCCAAAATGCCTCCCACGCGCTGTTAATGAACCAAAGGACAGCTGGAAGACAATGTGTAGTAAGCTCACACAAGTCATCATATTATATGTCTTTTCGAAATTAAGCTACTCAATGGAAACCCACAGAATGAAGATTATATGGTTAGTCTCATTTTGTAGGAATCCAGTGACCAGTCCTCATTAACGATAACCCCAGAATAAAAAAAAATCAAAGACTTCAGAATTTAATAGGTGAAGGAAATGATAGCATAGCACATGAGAATCAAATGGCCCCTTTCGCATACATAACAATCTGTAAACCAGACAAATTACTTCTCTACTGTTTGCGATTGCTTTCCAAGTAATACGTTAACAGTTTGCATTGTTACAGAATTTTCAATGCCTACAGATGAATCTCGCGACAAAACAGTATGTAGAAAAAATTAGAAAAATTTATTAATATTTATATCCAAATAGGAAGCATTCAAAAAGATTCTCAAAGAGTACAACATTAAATGGCCACAAATAGCCAGCAAAGAAGATGAGTGTAATCCAAGGCTTGTTACATTGATAGGAAGAACCAAAAATCCTTGAATATAACCCCAAAACGAAAAAGAAAAAAAAAACCATAACCAAAAATAAAAAGAGAATTCTGGAAGATTTCTCTGGGGGTTTCGATAATACAACAAAACTGGTGAAGCAACCTGGGAAGGTTTGTGGTCAGAGTTTATGATCTCTTCAAAACAAAAATTCTTCACTGCAAAATGAGTTTTGTCAGGGTAAATTTAACACCCCCGATTTACAGAACTCTAGGGTGTGTAGATGATATGGTCTTATATAATATATATATTAACCTTTTGTTATCTTTAGCTCTCCTTTTTTCTTTACCTTTCTTACCTGAATTTTTTTTTTTTTTTTTTTTGCTCATTGGTTAGTTCTCCTTCAAGAAAGGATCGGTTCCATTAGGAGGTTCTTCTCGGTTTTCAGAAACGGAAGGGATGCTAAAACTGTTGTAGTTATCAATGCTACTGCTTCGTGGCTTGCCTGGTCTAGATCGTATGTTGGTACCCATTGGAAATGGTTCCTGCAAAATAATAACGGAGAAAATATGAAACAAAAGAATCTCTCATTGTGTAAATGAGAATCACCGGAACTTTGATATTATGAGATCACAAGAACCCATTTGAATACGTTCAACCAAAGGGAGAGCGGATTTAAGCCACTAGCTAGGAATGAGATCATAGGAATCAAACAAGATAATGTTCTCAGATGTGTTAATAATATTTTACCTGATCACCAGCATTTGGACCATCCGTGTGGAAGAGTATAGGCCGGCAACGTTTGTCTTCGTTCATTAAGCTTGAATTCTGGAAATGGGCAATAAGAGCTATTTTTCCTTGGATTCGAGCATATGTAAGAGTTGCCACCTTCTCGCTGTTGAACTTTTCCCACTTTTTGCCATTAAACGCCTGTGAGTGTTTTTTTTTTGTGAGCTTTTAACCAATACTTTTCCATAAAAAGCCAAAAGATATATGATGAAGCAGCAACAGAAGACCGAACCTTATAAAATGGGACAATCTTTTCAGGTTCGATAAGGTTGATGAAAGCATATCCCACATTGCATTTGTTCTGAAATGAGAAGGTAAAGTTATATTAAAAACAAAATCGATATTGCAAATAACAAAAGTTTAGTTTCTGCATAAGGACTTCTTATATCAAAAGGTAAGACGCCTCCTTGCCTTGAAGTCAATTGGCAAATAAAGGAAATCATATGTTCCTTTACAATGCTCGTCAATGGCAGATAAAAGCATCTTAGAAGTATACCTAAACCATAGCAGCATTACAAAAAAAGAAAAAAAGAGTCAAAGATGAAACAGAATACATCAAACAACCCACGAAATTAACAAAAGATTTAAACAAGAGATAAAAGAGAAACACTGAGTTCACTTACTTATTAGGAATGTTTTTAATCATCAATGTTGTCCTGCCATCATCCCCACGTAATATACGGTCAACATCAAGCTCAAACAGTTTCTTGTCAGCATTACTAGAGCTAGACTCGCTTCTACGGTGAGAGAGATTCCTGTATCGTTCATTTGGAGAGTCAAATGAGCCCGGCACTGAACCCATTGGGCTCCTCCCAGGGAAGAGATGAGACAACTGTTGAGGAGATCGCAATACAGCATTCTGGGAATTTACATCCATGCGATTCCCACCAACATGGGAAAAACTCTTATGAGAACCAATTTCCATTGGATTTGAGGGTGAAGAGCCAGAAAACCCCATACTACCATGAGAACCTATGTGGAAGCCAGAAGATTCTAGAGATTCAGCTACATAGCCTTGTCTTCTATCCCAGAAAGGCGAGTTTAATACTGGCGCAGATCCAATGTGGTGATGCACAGGAGAAGATGCCATATTCACCACGATAGGAGGTGCTCTAGAGAATACAGTTACAGGTGGGCGCTGAGTAGAAATGCTGTTGAGGTGAGATGGCGAGTTAGGCCACATCATGCCACTTGACGGATTCTGTTGCTGAGTGTTAGAGTTGCTCCATAAATTCAGGTTAGGGCGGCGGGAACTTTGATTGATGGGAGACCCTATGCCTAAAGTCAATATATCACAACAACTAAAAGTGAGTAAAAACAATATTGTGGATGACAGTAGAAGAAAATTAAACACCGTTTTCCAACTCAGAATTTTAATAGCATTTAGTAATCGTGCGATTTTTTGATATACACAATGAACGTTCACCCCTTTTACTATTCAAACCCCAGTACAAAACCACCTCATCTGTTTAGATAACTGAAATTAATAACATAATGCTAATACTTGTTTTCCCTAGGACGAGAAGTTTACACCAAGAATGACAAGAAAGGACCAGTTGTCTAATCAGACAACAGTACCTAGAGTTTGCATCGCTGTAGCATTTCACAGTTCACTAAAGTTGTAAAAAACCATCTCAATATCTAACTTGAGATTGTCCTCCGATAGGGTGCTACGCTCAGAGCATTTCTCTTAAATTCACAATTGTCAACTACATATCAAGGGAGTAGCAATTCAGAGATATAGAACTTACCCCCTCCGTTAAAGCCATCCACTCCACGAACATTATGCATCATAAAGCCTTCATTTGCTTTTGAGCCATCACTGACCATTTCGGAAAATGCTGTCGAGGACTTATATGGACTACCATTTGCAAAGTTGTCGAGGTATTCCGAAAAAGAATGAGGATGCAGATTTGGCAAGCTTTGGATCCCCATATTTGAATTATCAAAAGGGTGGCCATGCTCCTGAAGTCCGACAGGCTTGCTGGCTGAGATGACGTTTGCCGAAGGTGGAAATCCAATAGGAATGCTGAGACTCCGATGACGTTCAATGAACGAGTTCACAGGTGATCCAACAGAATTATGAATCACCCGCATAGATCCACCATCAATGGATGTTGAAGAAATTATTCCTGGGAAATGTCTACCTGAAACAGAGATATTTAAAACAGTGATTTGAGTCCCAAGATGACTAATCATTAAAGAAAAGAGAATTACAAACCATGAATGAAAAAGCATACCCATGTGCCCAGATGATGTATTACTAAAAGACATTTTAGGTAGACACCCGTCAGCATCATGTGCAGCACGCTGTGACATGTATCTGAAAAGAAAAAAAAAAAAAAGAAGATGAATACACACTACACAATTGGCGTCCTTGTAAAGACTTAACAGCAAATAATTTTCAAATCAGTTTGATTTAACTTTTGCATTAGTTCACAGCCCACAAAGGAAGATAAAGAAGGGAAAAAAACCACCTTGTACCCTCTGGACAGGTTGGCGCAAGTTTAAGCTGCTTCCCAGCAACCTCGAGTCCATTAAGTCCACCAAGAGCAGCCTCTGCAGCTCGAACGTCAAAGAACTCTATGTATATCTGTGTGTTATCATGCATAGTTCTACGAATCTGCAAACGACAGAAACAGCATTAGCATCTATCTAGAAAATTAAATATAAGGAGAGCCACTATATACCAACCTCTTTGATTTCTCCATATGATTTGAGCATTCGATTGAGCTCTTCATTCGAGATAGAAGAATCAATATTATTAATCAACAAGGCTCCTTTACTCGTGTCTTTTTCTAGAGGATTTTCCTGATAGCAACAAAAATTGTCAGAAAGATACAAATCAATACAGGTCACAAGTACAATTTACATAGCAACGACAATATCTTCCTTAGAAAGAGTGAATAACACCTTAGGAATAGAATAACGAATGTCAAGTTTCGTTCCTCTTAACAGCCTGTTGTGGAGTGCTCTAGCCGCATTCTGAGCAGCCCTTATATCATAGTACGAAACCATGATAAAGCCACGATTCTTGCAAGCTGTATTTAGAGCCTGGATGTCTCCAAATTGCTGAACAAATACATTTATCCTCAGTACGAAGTAATCAAATCCAAAATGTCTACCCACCATCTATTTCGTAAATAAAATAATCCATGGGAACCAAAAACACTGCTGAAAGAAGGTACCTCAAAAAGGACCTTCAGCTCATAGTCCTCGACATTGCTACTGATATTTCCGGCCAAAAGTGATCTGGATGGAATTTCCCCACGATGATGTTCGCCAGCAGAATTATTGCCGCCTCTCTCACCACTTCTGTGACCCACAGAAGAAAAAACCTCTCCATCTAGTTCCATGCCACCGACACTGCTAAATAGATCAATGTCATCCAGATCATCTCCATTGGCACGAGATTTACGCCCAACCTCACCCCTCACTTCCGCAAAGAGATCATCTTCATCTGGGAGAAGATTTCCAATAGTTTGCGCCTCAATTTCTTCTAAAGATTCAGAAGGTTCTTCTTCACGGTGGGTAACAACTGTATTTGTAGACATAGGCGATAGTAGATCACTTCTTTGTAGTCGTACTGCAAAAACCAGCAAGTTGGAGACGCACTCGAGTAGTTAAAGTACAATAAGAAGAGCACACAAGTATCAAACTTTCACAATTATCAAGCGACGTTTCTTTGCCATTAAGAGACTGCAACTTTAGGTAGCTGATTAAAACATAATATGTACAAAATCAGAAAAGTGAACCAGAGGCTTACGTTTTCTGCTGAATAAATCAGACATTGAGCTGGAAAATAAACTGCTTTCCCTCTGGCTATCACTAGTAGTGTTTCTTGCGTTTGGGCTAGCAGAGGGGTGCACAACAGACAAGCTAGATTGTGTCTTCAGCTGGTAACTTTCAGGTGTCCATGAACTCTTTGGCAGATTTGAAAATCTATCACGACCACCTTGATTTTCGGGCATCAGGTCTGCTTTCAGAAACCCAAATTGCCTCTGCCGAACAAAGCAACAAGTATACTTGAGAAAAACAGTTCAGACAATAGACATCATGGACAATAATGGCAGATAATGTTATAAGTGAAAAATATGGTACCAGCAATTCTAGTCTACACAACTTATATCAATAGTTACCTCTGAAGTAATATGAATATCTTCATGAAAGTGGGAAGGTGTTGATACACCTCTCTGATCCATTATATCAGACGGCATCGTGCAGATGACAACAAAAATCGACTAATAAAACCAGATTCAAATTTGTTTTTTTTTTTAACTTTTTAGTTTGTCAACGGGACCATAGCCTTTCCCCTGAAAAATGAACACAAACAGTGTTATATTCAAAGCCACTGTATACAGAAACAAAATGCACTTTTCATTGCAACGAGTGACTAATAGAAGGGGCCAATACCTCACGTATGAGCCAAAAGAGCAAGCAAATAACTCCAAGGATCTAAACAGAAGATTTCTACTACACCTAAGCAAACTCACACCCCAAATCCAAGGATAAAACAAAGATAGAAACTTTCAGCACTCTAGGAAGAGTTCAAGAGGAAAACATCTTAACACATAATCGTTCCATTTAAGCGAGTGGAAACACCTGGAATACACGATTAGGTATTTCAGAAGCCATAAAGACTACAATTCGCCTAATTCCGGATCCTTGTGCAGCTCATTATATGCAAACAGGGAACCAACTCCTACCTAATTCACAAAATTCGGCACGGAATTAACTTATTTCAGAAAGAAATAAACACCCCTAAATCACTCACCAGCAAACAAAAAAATCAAAAAAACAAAAAAAATCTCACCTAATTACAAACAAACACAATTACGCTTCCTCCCAAACAAATTCGAACCAGATTTTCAAAAATTAGTTGAAAAAAAAAAGTAGTGAAGAATGGATCTCGTAAACCACTTACCTCCTAATATCACGATCCTCGAAGAAAACACAACAACAACGATGTAGACAGAGAAGAGAGAGAGAGAGAGAACAGAATAATTCGCCTTCTCTTTTATCTTCCTCCTTTCCTTTTTGTTTCCTTCTATCCAATCGCATCCATCAGAGAATATTTAATTCAAAATATTATCAATAAAAATTAACAAAAAAGCGTATCGGTGTTTCAATTTTTTTTTTTGAATTTCCCCTCCTCTCACGACGCGTTGTTTCCAACGAATAAACCGTGCGACCGGCGGTAAATTTAAAATTCCGGCGAGACTCTGACCGCCGACGCACGATCCCGGCAGTCTCTCCGAGAGAAGAAGAAACGGAGAGGAGAGAGATATGAGAGATTTTATTTTTTTTTGGTTTTTTCGGTTAGTTGGTTTAGAAAGAAGAAAAAAAAGAACGAGGGGAAAAATAAAAGAGAGAACAGAAAACATAGAGTTGAGGAAGAGGAGGACTCCGCTACGTTGAGTGTACCATGGATCTAGTGGTATGGTACGAATCTGGACCGTAAGATTAATGATTAAAACTCAAATAGTTTGTCCTTTTAAAAAAGAAAATATAATTACGGACTCACACGAGAGTCTCGACGGGTTTTTACGAGCCCGGCTAAATAACTAAGGAGCCGGCTATTGAACATGTGAAGTTGTGAACTATATTTGATTTGTTTTATCCACACACTTTTTTTTTATAAAACAAACTATATATATGTACGTACTAATGTACAATCAAGATAGAAATTCACTTTGTTTTGAATGAAAAAACTATCAAAAAAAAAATTTAATTGATATTTGATATAATTGACAGTTTTAGTTAAAACACTTCTGAATATGTTTCGCCTCGTAGTAGGTGATCACAAATGCAAAATTTGGTAGTTTATATGATTTATAGAATATATTTTTGATTAAAACAATCCCTTGTATAATTGCGGTAAGTTTTGAATGGTTTAGGCGACCCTAGCATAAAACCTTATAATTTGTGTTAATGTCATGATTGCATCATAATCCCTAATTCAACTAACTAGTACAATGCACATTTGTTGACATAGATAATAAAATTGTTAATATTCCATTTCTAATATATTTATAATGCACATTGCTGACATACAAAATAAAATTGTTAAGATTATATTTTAATATTGTGCTAAACAACATGATCTTTGTAGCCATCTAAATGACGATTAAACCATTCAATTGTCAAAATAAAATAAAAATAAAAATTAGAATAAAATATATTTAAATACATATAACTAATGATGAAAAAAATATATATGGAGTTTGTTAATTAATGTTTATGAAATGCATTTTTAAAAGAAAATATGGATGATTCGGATCAGCAATTCATATTGGATCCAAAACTATAATCTTTCATAGTCAAACTTACTCAAGCCATGTTAGAAGTAACCTAGCCCGGTAGAAATGGACTCCCAACTCCAAATTATAAAGATCTGAGACAATTTGCTTTGTTAGGATTATGGAAAAACGGTCACAATCTTTCCTTCTATCATACATACAATTTATAGTCATAATGGAAGTTGGATTTAAAATGAGCAAATTTACAATGGAATGAATGTATGTTGTATAGTTACATTTATAGAAAAACATAGCAAAAATGAAGTCCAAAATAATCTTGCTATTTATTTTATAATATAAGCTTTGGAACTAAAGTTTACAATTTCTCAATTTATTTTAGAATAAGCTAAATAAGCAACCCGACAATAGATCGTCATCTAGTCATTCACTAAAAATAATTTTTGGAGATAATGTTTGGTTGGTTGGTTCAATGTTATATCTTAAACACTGTATTTCGTTCACTAATTCTTTTTTTTAAAAAATAAGCCAATTATTTTTATTTACTCTCAAATTCTCTGTTCACGTTCTTTATCATTTGTGTTTATTTTTTTCTTGCCTTGTTGTGTTCCATATCGCCAAGTCAAGTCTCGCTTTAATATATTTTACAAAATTAAAAATTCACTGATTACAGTGAAGAACTTAATTACAAAAAATATACAAATAATAACCACCATTGAGTGAAATTTTATTGGTTTGATGGCCAACCTCTCCACGATATCAGATTTAGCATGTCTAGGTTCGAAGTTCGAACAATCAAATGGAGAAAACTAAAAGTGGTTAGTGCCAGTGGTTTGAAGATAACTAGATTAGGAATAACAATTTTTTTTGTAAGAAATTGCAGTCACGTAGCCAATCGGCCGTGAAATGTGGCCGAAGATGAGTGTCGTGTACGATATCTCGCCTGTGGAGTTATTTCCAAACACTGTACCTCTTTTTCAATGAATTACTTGAATGAAAGTTTCTATTTATGTATTCTGTTGTATATAAATGCTTAGCTTGAAGATTAATTTAGTGTTTTGTATTGGGATCTCCGTCGAACATTTTTATCCATTGATTTCGTTGAATACAAAATACCCTAAGATGTAATTTGCCCCCACCCCCACAGATGTATATTCATAAGATCATAATGACCCTTTATATAGCTATTCGTTATTTATTTGTTGCACTCATACATTGATACATATACTGGATACTAAATGAAAGTTAATATATACATGTATGTCTATGGTATATACCAAGCATTTCAAAGCATACCAAGCCGACTTGAACCGGTTAGATTTATTATCACGTAAATCTTTTACTACTTTTGGTCCCTTAAGACGAGGACTAGCTATACCAAAATTGAATAAAAAAAAAATCAAACGGGATCGAAACCAAGTTCAAATATGAGTATTACAAAACGAACTCGTATTAATCCAACTCGTCATAACATTCATATCTCTTACCTTGTCCACCGAATGATTGGAAACGAACAAAATAAAATTCAAGTGTATTAATATTTGTTTTTACAAGCTATATAACAAGGCAATTCGCAAGACAGAGTTTTGAGAAAATTTCCAATGTTGTATTTGCCAGCCAAGCCGAGCTGAGCCGACGAAGATAAGCCGAGTTTTAGTGGCTGAGACTGAGAGTGGCGTGAGAAAGAGGGTCACTCTCCGAAATTTTAAATGCTGGGCGCTGCGTGAAGGATTAGAAAAGCATTTATTCTCAAAGATGCTCTTCTCAACGTATCCACGTGTCAAAAATTCATTAGTCTACACGTCAAAAGCCGAACCAGCAAATCCTGGCTCGGGCTCTACTTATCTACCTATTCCCCATCTACAAACTCTGTGCATCCTTCTCTTAATAGCCGTTGGATCCATCCATCCACTTCTTCAACAGAAATCTTGTGCCACACTCACAAGTCACACAACAAAGAAGACGACGTTATCTAACCGAGCGGCCTAACCGGTGTTGAATTTGTACAGCATAGTTTACATACCAATGCCAAACCGTCTATGAACTTCAGATCAACAAGCGAGATTCGCTTTAATTTTTAAATTTAATAAACCCTTTGTTATAGACTTTCTTGTGTCACGCTGGTCTCACATGCCTACATCCTTGGAGGTTTGGAACAGTTAGGGTCTTAAATTATTCTCATATGATGATACTTAAGTTAACATCTAAAGATATTCAAAACTTGAGGATGAGATCATTGGCAAGAGAATCATTTATTTTATGAAAACCCTCGTATGTTAATATTTTAATTCTTCCAAGTACAACATACTGGTCATCAATGTCAATTATTTCCTATTTAATTTATCGTAAATTCTGTCAACAATACACGCTAATTTTGTTGTTTTAAGAAACACACAATTTTTTTGGTTTTTATGGTATTACTCTTTTACGAATCAACATATATAACAAAATTTGTATATGCAGTGGAAATTCTATAATATTGATTTAACCTACTTAATAGATCAAACTAATATACCATGAAAATAAACAGTATAAATTAAGGCTTCACGTGCTAAATCTTGAAGAACACGATTGGACAGAAAAGCAAGACAGAAGCAATAACCAATGGAACATCATATAAACTTTTTAGGTATCATTGGATAATTACACTAAATGGTATTATAATGATTTTTGAATTATTTGGTTGTTAAAAATGGTCCACTCGGTCGCTTCTCCAGATCCGTTTATCTGTATAGATAGATTTTTCGTCGGTCTATCTACTAATTTTCTATTAGTTTTTAATTAATAATACACTGAAATATTTTATTATGCCGTGCTATTTTATTTTCTGTCAGCAATCTACATTGGACTGTGTCATATTCTAAAGAAAACTAATATCTAATTTACGGCGCCAAAATCCAAAAAGGTAAATATCATTAAATATTGTTTTCAGTTTTTATTAAATTTTGATAATTAGATATTGTTTTTACTTTACACTTTTGATTTGTTTTTTTTATTATTATAACTGATGACAACAAATATTTGTTCAATTCAAAGCTGACTTTATAACTATAACGTTAAATACTATATATATGGGTTTACCAACCAATTTTTTATTTTTGTCGAACACAGTCAAATTCGGCAAAAATATTGGAATATGGTGAAAAAATTATATTAGACAGATTTTGTGTAATTTTTTTTATATTTCAAAGTGGGACCTGTGCACTTTAAAAATGATTACATAAGTTCATTTACAGATTTGATCTGATTTTAAGTTTTAACTAGTCGACCTTCCCAAAAAGTTAGTATCCCAAATTAATTTTGTTGCGCAATACATCGTTTTGGAAGATTCATATTTGAGGAGATCGTCATATGGGCCGAAATTGGATGAGTATGGACCTATAGGCCCACATCTACCCAAATTAAACTAGGCCAGATTACCAAAATCCCAATATTAGCCACCCCGTTACTAGTTGTACTCCCCCTTCGGGAACTTTTAAGAGTCGATCGAAACCTGAAATTCGCACGCCTCCGCTGATCGCCATCGGCATCGGAATATTCCATATTCACTGCCAACAATTCATCTCATCGAGTCAAAAGTATGGAGCTGGCTGGGATGAATTTCTCTTTGTTTTCACGATTCGTTTTTTGCTGTATTTGTTCTGTACTCGTGTTTTATGAAGCTCTCAATCTATTTATCGCGTGGTCTCTTATCCTATTTGATGTATTATTTTCAGCGAGGCTTTAGCTAGAATTCAGTGGATTAATGGGGAAGAAAGAGAACGAGATGTCAGCAATGGAGATCGACGATCCGAAATCCGACAGCTCCGAACAGATCCTTCCGAGGTTCTCGATGAATGGTTAGTTTTTCTTCTTTTCTTTTCAGGGAATGCAAATTTTACCCAATCGCTTGTGTTAATATTTCTTGAGGATAATTGGTATTGAGTTCAAAACAAAAAGATATGATGACAATATACATGATAAGCAGTATCTGCATGTTCGGGAATTTTGCTTACGGGAATCTCGAATTTGGTCATTGGTTGTTTCATTGAACCGTACTTTTGTGAAGGTTTTGCTGTGAATTTTAT